GGATGTAAGGAGGCAGCACTTCAGGTCCAAGAAGAGACATGGCTGACACCAGAGAGTGGTATAGAGACTGTTCTCACCTGGAGCCCTCAGGGGCCCTTCCCCAGCCTGAGCCCCCCTCCCACCTCTGCCTGCCCAGAGGAGGGGCTGAGCCAGCTGCTGCACTGCTTTGGGCACACAGTGGTCACCATGAAGGATGTGCTCTCCAGGGGCATTTCAGATTTGCTTTAAGCAAAGGCTGCAACCTTGCTATTCCCATAATGTGAGCTCAGGCACGCTCTTTGTTCTGTGTCTGTTGAGGACACGTGATTTGTCCAAACACCTGGGCTTTGCTCCTCCTCCAGTGCAGGTAAAAGCTCCCTGGGGCCTAAAGGAGGCACTGAGGTGGCAGGAGCGAGCATTCCCTGGAGGTGCCACCTTCTGAAGAGGGAACAGGGAGGTCAGCAGTCACACTGCCAGTACCCAGGTGCCCCTCTCCTGCTGCAGCACTGGAGCTGCTGGGCAGGCAGGACCATTCTGGGCAGCACGTGTGGGTTTGTCCTTTCCCTGCCCAATTCAGGGAGGGTGATGCAGTGCTGCCAGGAGCTCTGAGCAGTTCAGCAGGAAGAAGCTGGAGTAGGTGCCTCCAGCAGCTTCTTACCTTCATCAGGCTGCATTGAGAACTCATCCTGGACTCCATCCTGGGCCTCCAGGCAGGTCGCTGGCACCCAGCCTTGCTCCTCCAATGTGCTCACAAACCACCAGCCTGAGAATAAAAAAAACAGCAGGTGGATCAGCCAAGGGCTCACATCAGCCAAAAACTCACTCCTCTCTCCAAACCACGAGTCTGGGGGGCTGTGACCCCTCCTTGCTGCCTACATGGGAAGCTGGAGTGGCCCCAAAGCAACAGAGCCAAGCACTATCCGAAAGGGAGCACAGACAGCAGCACGGGACAACTGCAGCTGAATGACATCAAAATGTACAATTCTCTCCCCAGGAAAAACAGGAGAGGATCTCAGAGTTGAATGGCTCCAGCCACCACATTTGCTCTACTTTTTTTTTCCCCCTTCATGGTTCATTTTCCCTCAGTCTGGGTCAGCAAGCCTGGGCTAATTAGCAGAGATGAATACCCTGTCTGCGAATCGATAGCTGACTCCTGCTGCGTTCGCCTTCTTTACATTTGTGGAAACAGCAAAATTGAAAAGCCACGAGCAACTGCAGGATTAAAACATGAGCTCTCCCAGTGGAAACCCAGCCAGCTCCACAGTGGCCACAAGCAATTCTGGGCCACCCTGTGTGTCCAATCAAAATAAGTGTGTGCTCCTCAGTTATTAAAAGCACAAGCTATTTGTGTCTTTAGGGGAAAAAAATAAAGACTGAGTATTATCCTCAGAACATCACCAGTGAGTCATTTAGAAAAACAACTAGATTGTTGGGGAGGGAATCAGCTACCTGCATGGGAGGGAATATCAGGGCTGACCTTTGATAAATAAATTATTTTTCATTGCTTTTGAACTGGCTGTGCTAATAGGTTTCATTTGCTTCAGGGTTGCTTTCATTTTTCTCATTCTCAAACACAGCTGCTGGTGCAACTGATCCTCTGGGGACTGGTTTTCCAGAATTCTAAAATCTTTTCATGATTTATCTCTCCCCCCCCCGCCAAATAACTTCAGGGAATGAATTCCCCTTTTCAACAAACTACAGAATTTGGGCCCACGACCTGACTCGATCCCTTTGCAGAGGTTAAGAGCAAGTTTAAGTTTTGAAGCAAGTGAATAGCTCGGCTGCCTGCCCCGCTGTGTTGGGAGGCAGGAATTGTGAATGCACAATGGGGGCTTTCATGGGCACCATGAGAGTGTCCCCCTCTGTCAATAAAACAAGCCTGCCAAGTTCAGGAATGGTTTTTGTCCTCAGGACCCATTGGCCAAGTTTTTCAGCACAAAGAAGCATAAAGTAGAGATGGAAGAAGATGGACGGTGCCTGGCGCTCAGCACATGGATAGTCAGACCTTTCCCTTAGAGACAGCTCTGAAGTCTTGTCCACACTCATACACACCAAAACTTCTTCCTCCACGTCCCACCTCAGCTCACCATCCAAGGACATCCCTGTGAGGTGCCTGGAGGCTGTTTTGTTTAAGGCCCTATTAGGAAAACACTGAGCATACAAGATTGCTATTCCTACCCCTGCTCTGCGACACAGAGCGGACCCAAAGCCCTCTGCCAAGCCAAACTCTCTGTACCTGATTCGTTCTTCTCAATGATATCCACCAACTGGCCCACGCACAAGCTGATCTCGGAGCTCTCCTGCTTCTGGTAGTCCGCCACCACGACATACTGCTCCAGCACCAAGGGGTCGACCGAGGCAGAGTCAGCTCCTGCACAGGGGGGACAAGAACCGACCCGTGTGCCAGGGTCAGCACAGGCCACCGCTCCCGAGCACCTGCTGGCCTGCAAGCAGCTCCAGGACACCCCGGGGACCCCAGCGTGACAGACGTGAGCCAGAGGCTTGGGCACAGTGAGGAGGAGAGAGATCAAACCAGCAGCCAGGTGAGATGGGTACAGCCAGGTGAGACCTTTCGCTTGCTGCCTACCTTCCTGCTCACCGACAGAGCCATCCAAGCAACCTTACCACCACCAGAGATGCTCACAGCAGCCTGGACCTGCTTTCAGAGACTGAAGGGGTTTGGGGGACCTTCCTGTGCACTGGCATCAGGTGTCCCAAGGCACAGACCAGCTCTGACCCCAGCTCAAAACACTCAACCTGCAGTGGGTTCTGCTGGGCTAAAGAGCCTCCACCCAGATGGAGGGTGTTTGTAGGACAGAGCAGCATCCCCTGTCCTCATCACTTGGGGTATTCAGTCACCTCGGTTTGCTCTGCTCTCTGCCCACCTCCTCCTGCTGCAGATCCAAATTTTGTGTCAGAAGAGGAAAAAAATACCCCAAGGAGGAGCAAACGGGCAGGACACACCGGGAACAAAGCCTTGCTGTGCCCAGAAAGAGGCCAACACCAGAGGAGAGCCGGGGGCGGCCGGATCGCCGGGTGCGGAGCCGGACCGGCGGCAGGTGGCACTGCGGGATAAGATCGGGATACCGGGAGCACTGCGGGATACGGCGGGACACGGGGTGCGCTGCGGGATAACGCCGGGATATCGGCTACACCGCGGGATACGGCGGGACACAGGGAGCACTGCTGGATATGTGGGACACTGGGAGCACTGCCAGTTCCCCGCTGTCGATGGAGGGGGCGGAGCAGGGCCAGGCTGGTTTGTGCTTTGCAAGCACATTTTCCATTAGGACAGAGCTCTGGATATGGATGTCCCCGGCTCGGCGCTGCCCGCTACGGCAGCACTGCAGCAGAGCTTCCCACTGTCAGTTGTCACTGCTTCAGAAACACGGCCCCACGTTTGTCCCATACACCGAGCAGAGCTCCCCTTTCCACACGTGTGCCCAGGGCTGGCTGTGTCCTGAGTGCCCATGGAGCACCCAGGGCTTGGCAGGATCAGACACAGACATTCCCTTGGGCTCAGCCTCCCGCTGAACCAACCACAAGGCACTCGGGTACCCAGAGCAACAGAGCACTTGTCCATGAGCCTCCAAAAGCCTCCAAGAAGCAGAAAAGTGTCAGAAGCTCTTGATCAAGACTCCCTTCCATCCCAAGCCCTGGCTTCCAACTGCCACTCTGCCTTGTGGCTTCGCTACCTGTCAGAGGAGGACACTATTATATCATCCTGTTCTCCCCTGGTGCAGTAAGATTTAATTAATACTTGCCAAATGCTCTGGAAATAGGAGAGTGTTAATTATTACAGCACAAGTGATACCAAAGAATCACACACCTGATCGCAGGTGTTCAGGCGAATTTAAAGGGCCCTTGTTTTACTCTGAGCCTCAAGGTTTGGGTCGAGGCAGAAATCACACCTGCCCCAGGCTCCAGCTGCTACAGCAGGCAGATGTGCAGGACAGTCAGCTCCCAGTCTCCGAGGGTGTAAAAGTCTCTAGAGAGAAGTGGTTCCTTGGAACAGTTAGGTTATATGCAGCAAAGAATTCAGACTATGTTATCACGAATAAGCTGCTGTGGGCAAGTGTACCAGCACCATGTGCTCCCTCATCACATGAGAAGCCTGAGCCTGACCAAAGATCTTTCCTATGGGGGAACGTGTTGCAGGGTATAGGTTCCTCTATAGGAAACCTGTGGGGTCATACCCATCCCAAAAGGGTATGAGTAGAGAGGGACAAGAGCTAGCAGGTCTTCAGGATTCCTAGGATGCTGCCTCACAGAGAAGTTCTCCTGTGCACAAGGTCACAACCTCTCCAGCTGGTTCTGAGAGAGAGACCACAACCAAGATTTAAATGAACAATGTGTTTTCAAGACATCTTCCTATTTAAAGGAAGAGGAGGCAAATTGTCTGTGTTAATCTACTATAAACAGTACTCTGCAGAGCTCCAGGTGGGCTGGCCAAGTGCAGAGGATCTGTTACTAAAGAAAGCTTCCTCCATACCAAACCTCAGAGGTGGGGCACCAGACAGAATTAAAAATAGCCCTCTAAAGTGAATGCTGGATGCTAGGACTATCTGTTCTACTAGCTCAATTAAAGGTTTGTATTTAAAGAGATCTGAGGATCTACCCAGCCCCTGAGAGAAGAATAACAGCTATAGGAAGAGATAAGTACTCTCCTTTCTGCCTCCCTGACTGTAATTACACCTGCTGCTCTGAGGCTATTTGTAGTTTCAGCAGCCAATTCTGGATCCTCCAATGTACCCATTAAACCAGCAACAGAAGTGGTGAACTGAGCTTGGAGGAAGAAGTAGGCGGTAATTTCAGGAGCATCTTCACCTGGCATAATCATCCTCAACCACAAAAATACACACTACAGTTAACAACAACATCCTGCATAGGACAGACTTGGGGTTCTCAAAAATAGCAGCGGTGTAAAGCTTCCCAGCTAAGCCAGGAGACAGTACTAAAGCTCTGCACCTGGGGAGGGGAGTAAGGACTGGTACAGTCCCACAGGAGAGTGAGTTTTGCAGACAGCTCAGGCAGGGGCACAGACTGTGCATCCTCAACACTCTGCACTTGTGAGACTGACACAAATGTCACCTAGAGAAGGGATGTGCCAGAAGACCACTGAGGCCCCTGACTGGACTTGCAGAACTGATGCTTGCTGAGGATGCAGCAGAGCCACTGGGGAGATGCTCAGAACATCCCAGAACCAACCCAAGGGCTGCTCAGCACAGTGACATTGCTCTCAAGACCCCGAAAATTGCTGCAGGTTTTGTTTGATCAGAGAACTGGAACATTCACCCAAGTGCTGTATGAGATGTACAAAGCCAGCAGGAAATTTCACAGACATGGGGTTACTTGTGACATTTCCAGCTTTTTCACTTTCTGGCTTTGCAAGAGCCAAAAGTGGGGACTTTGAGAGCTTGGACACTGGTGCCTCCAGGGGGGAAAAAAAAGCTCAGGACTGAAATCAGGGTGCACAAGTATTTGGTTTGGAAACCTGCCCTTGCTGTACACTCCAGCCCTTGCCTAATGCATCTTCCAAAAATGTCATACTTTGCTTAAAGTTTCTTCTCCCTACTCCTCCGCCTGTGCTGATCAGACCCAGAGCTCTCAGGACAGCCCCTCTTCTCCCAGACCTGAGGAGTTTGTGAAGATCAGTACCATGAGTGACTTTTTCACTGCTCTCATGTGAAATGGGCACTGGATGCTGCACTGTACTCTTTGCAAACCCTCTCATCTCTTCAGGGATTTTTCCAGAACTGGAAAATAATAACATGGGAATATCATTCACCAAGGGATTTTCAGAAAGATCCCTTATGGCTGCTGTAGGATTTGGGGGCTGTGTTTTCACTGCTTCTCATCAGACTGAATACTGTGGTTTGGGGTCCCTCTGCCATTGCAGGCATATTACACAGCACAACAAAAAAGACATGGCCACATAAGAAAGCATCTAACACAAAACTGGCAGCAGGGTATTTGAGATCTCTGCCAGCCTCCTTGAGCAGCTCCAACCAAATATAAACTCTGGAGACAGTTTCAGGTTCCCCTGCACTAAGTCAATGCTGCAACAAACCCATGACTCTCCATCTGTGCTTTCTGTTCAACTGTGAGATGAGGAGAGAACAGAAATGCTCAGAACAGCCTTGGGAACTGATATGATGACTACTTTTAGATGTATCTAAATCAGTGGCCAAGTCAGTCTTCAGAGTCCCAGGGAAGGAGGAATAATCCACTTCCTCCAAGCTCCAGGCTGAACAGAGCCTGGGCCCATGTCTGAGGCTCACAGGCACGTGGGATTACAAACACTGATAAAAAACCTCAGCAAAGAAAGCAGATGTTACTTCCAATGCTCACATACACGGTGCCCTCCTCTAAACAGCAAATGTCACCCGAGTCTCTTGGTCACCACAGGAGGCTGAGGGCAGGCAGCACTCTAACCCACTTCGCATCCCAGTGTTTGCTTAAATCCAATTTCCAAACAGGGTTTGCTTCTGGCAGGAGCTCAGAGTTCTTTCCAACACTCTCCTCAAGAGCAGTTCACCCCTTCTCTGGCAATGCTGGGAGAAATAAGCAATTGGGAAACTGCTTACTGGAAAATTCTCGTGATTTTTGTTTGTTAGCAGCTATTGGATGACCCCTCCTCAGGGAGATCCTGGATTGAATGAGCGTTTTTTTGTGCCTTGCTGTGTATTTGTTACCTCAAAGCAGGCCTGGCTTGAGGACCTGATGAACATTTGCAAGGAGCTGGGGTGACAGCAGCAGAACCAAACTCTGTTTCTGCTGCCAGAAAATGCAGGAGAGTGAGAGGAGTCTCTGAACGAGTCTGGCATGAGGCACTGACCCTTTCCAATGTTACTGCAAGCAAACACCTTTCCCTGATGGCTCCTGCACATGTGCCAGCTGCCATGGGCAGAACATCAATCATATCCTGCCCTGCCAGCACAGGCTATGGCTTGGTTGTTACCCAAACTCTTACTATTCTCTCCCTCTCAGTATTGTCAAGTGAACAGCATCCCAAAGAGCATTTTCTCTTTGACTTTAGCAACATCCCTATGTTCCTTAGAAACCCACCATGCCAAAGGGATGGTGGAGTGAAGCTGTCTAAGAATGCAGTGGGAAGGATGGAAGGAAGGATGAAGCTGTTTACACGAGCAAGAGAAAAGTTCCTGCTTCTTTAACAGCCAGTGTCCTTAAATTGAATTCTGCCCTCAAAGAACTGAATTATGCAGCAGAAATTTTCTTCCTCTTCTTCTCAACCCTAGAGATGCCTTCTCTTCTCTTGGCTAATGTAAGTGAACAGAAGTAAAAGTGATCTAAGCACATACTGATCTCATAGGGAAACACAACACTCTTCCCTTACTCACCAAATGTTCCTGCTGAGGCAGCACACAAGAGAAGGTTTCAAGATGAGGGAGATTCTTTTACATTTGTTCCACCAAAAGAGAGGAGAAGGAAAATATTTGCAGCCTGTTTTTGTCCCCACCCACAGCCAGATGCTTCTCTCTGCCTCCAAAGCTAGGTGAAGTCCCACTTCAGAACAAGAAAGTCAGTACTGCAGTCTGTGCTTGCAAATGGCCCATAAGAGCTTTAAAATGACCATCCCAATGTCCTGACAGAGAGCAGTCAGAGCTTGAGTAGAAAATGCTGTCCAAATATTTAACCCTACTTGTAAAACCCTGTTAGTCCATCAGGAGAGCACCCAACTACAACCTGCCTGTGAGAATGGACCAAACCCAGGAGCCACTGTTCAAGCCAACATCATCAGAGCTCTCCATGTGCATCCTCCTACAACTAGTCTCAGTTAAGACACGGGGACACGAGCTCCTGAAGGAGGGATGGCCTGCAGGTCCAGTGGAAAAAAAAGTGGAATCAAGTCTTTGAGTCTCCCCTGTACTTCTCTCTCCTTCAAGAGGAACCCACTCACCTACAAGTGAATTTGCTTACACAGATTATGTCAGTGCCAGCTCTCTGGCCAAAATCCTTTCCACCACCTATTTCAGTAGAATCTCCATCCATCCAAGGCTCAGAATTTCTTTCCTGAAGAACCTCATACTGTTTTTAAACCTGCAGCTTCAGTAGCTGAAAGACATCTCCCTAATCCACAGATCAAAGGCTCTTCCACTCCTTTCTCCTTCTCTCTATAGGGAGCTCAGATAACCACTAAAACCAACCAACTAGCTTTTCAGAGATGTTTCCCTCTATGAGGAGCAGGGGTAGAGTATCCCAGCCCCGACTGTCTTCCCAAAGGCTCCCAGACGGTGCCATCACAAAGCAGAACCTACTGCTACTGCACTGGGAGACTTTCAACCTCACACTGATCACCAGGCAGCTCAGATACTCCTCTGGATTTTCGAAATTTTGCATCCCCATCCCTGCAGACCTTCACCCAGGACCTGTGGCACATCCCCTGCACCAAGAGCCAAGCCCCAGCCCCAGCCCCAGCCCACTGTACCTCGGCTCCGCTACTGCCCCGTGTCCACCAGCCACCACAGAAAGCTACGGGGCATGTGACAGCCTCTTGCAAGGGTCTTGCCCACCCAGCCTGAGCAGGTGTACCCCCAGAGAAAGGCAAAGCAAAAGCAAGGGCCAGGCAGAGAGCAGCTGTTAGTACCTCTCTGCAGGAAAGAGGCCGTTCTCTGGATAAACCCTGATGAGGAACAAAACCAACGGGAGACAAGGCATGAGGCGGGGAGGGAAATATCTTGGGGGTGGCAGCAATGGTGGCAACAGCTCAGCTAATGACTGAAGGGGGAGGCCAGCACAGTGTAGAGAGCTGTGGGCATCTGACCCACCTTTGGGAGCGCGACGGGAGGCACAGGGGACATGGGATCAGGACTTGGAGGCTGCAGTGAAATCCCAGGTGGATGGAGGGGACACACTGTGCTGGGAAGCCCCACAGGGGAGCAAAGCAGGGGCCTGTCTTGCTATGGGGCCAGGCCCTTGCCCTGTTCCAGGAGACAGCTGTGGGGTAAAGGAGGAGTTCGTGTAACCAGCAGAGAGGAAAGGAGTCCTTACCAGACCTCTTCTTTCCAATGGGCTCCCTGAAAAAGAGAAGGAAGAGTATCAGCAGAGGAATGGGACAATTGGGTTGTTGGTCGGGTGGCAAAACACTCAGGAAAGCACAGCAGTGCTTGGCCCTGGTGGGGCCACTGACCTCCCTCAACCAGCTAATGTCTCCACGGGTGACATGGGGCACCACCCACCCTGCCAACAGCCCATCTCTCCCCTCCTTTCATTCAGAAATTAATGTTTTGTCTTTCCCAGGGGGAGCCTGGTTTTCTGGCCTGGTCTCCTTGGTGAAGGTGGGTGGACGGGCATGATCAGGCAGCAGAGGCAGGAGCTGGGGAAACCAAAACTGCTCCCAGCACAAACCACAGCTCCCACAGAAATGGGTGCCAGTTTGAAAACAGACAAAGAGGGAAATACTGAAGTTCCTCCATGTCCCATGCATCTCTCAGGGACAAGGGTGGGGAGTGGAGGGGAAATCATTTATATCCCAAAACAGGACAAGTCATTAAAGTGTTGTCGAAAGAATGAACACCAGACTGTGCAGCCCTCAGGACAGAGCAAGCAGGAGCTGTTGGTGGTTGTGAGGAGGCAATGAGGGAGCTTCAGCCCAAGTCCTTTCACTTTGGCTTGTCCACTGACCACACCACTGATGAGATGGGTTAGAAACCACTGGTCCTGGGTCCCTTCTCTGACCTGAATGTTGCCAAGAAACATGGTCGCTGAACAGCCTCAAACCCAGGGCACAAACACAACTCTCTGCAGGCACAATGAAATCCAAACCAAGGAAAATATGGGCCCAGAGAAACATAAAAAACCTCTGAGTAACAAACTAAGACACCCAACCACCCTGAAATCCAAACAAATGCACCAATCCTGTTCCCAGCCCAGCCACAGCAGTCCATGCTGCTACAAAAGAGCTCTCAGCACTTTCACATAATTCACCACTCTGGGCTTGAAATGCTGGGGTACCTTGGGCTGATGATAACCAGCTCCCTCATCACTTACACAGGACATTGCTTTCCCCACTC